TAAGTTGAGACATACCCTGCCCTCTTGTGCAATAGGTCTTTGCAAGTACAATGCTGTATTTATACGGTGGGAATGGGGAGCCCAGGGCTGGACTCTGCAGAGGCATGAGTAAGCAGCTTCCAGGAGGCCCAGGTGCCAGCTGGGCCAGCTCTTTGATTCCTTTTCTGGGAGCAGATGCAGACCAAGTGCTGGGTCTCAACCAGCATTCTCCACTACAGGAAGGACAGTCTTAGAGCCATATTGTAAAGTTCAAGTGGTTTCTTTGGAAAAATGCTTTATCTACCAGGCTCACTACAGAGTTATTTAGCATGGTCAAAGAGAGGCAACGATGTAAAGCAGACTCAACGTGTACAAGCAGACCACACGGCCAAGGGCAGCATCCTGGGCAAAAAGGACTCTCAACAGAATGGAAGAGCAGCACCTCAGTAAGCACACAGGCTGTGAGAGGACAAACATGCCTTGTGGTGACAGCATCTGTTTGAGCAGTGCCTCTGCTCCCTTCTGCTCTTGTGGTGTTCCCACGCTGCTCTTTGAGAGACTGCAGAAAGGACCATGGGAAAGGACCAATCTAGCCCTAATTAGGGGCAGGAATGCATTAAGAGCAAAGCTGAAGCAGCTTACCTATCTGCCAGTACAGCTGAGAAAAGTCAAATCAGACCCTGGTTCCAAGCTGAGCCTAGTTGATAAATAACGATAAACTTGGAGCAATCTGAAGAAAAAGCCAGTTAGCACCTGAGGATTAAATTGGGGAGTGTTAAGAAAGTGATAAGGTTGTTAATGTAATCACACCTTCTCAGGAAATGGGGGGCGGATGCCATTCCGAGGTAACTGCATTTCAGCAGGGTTTCTCCTGCTGGGCCATGTCAGCTCCTGACCTGGTAATAGTTCAGCCTTGTCCCTTCAAAATAAATAGGATGTAACCTACAGGGCATAAAGATCTCCAGAAGGACTTTCAGACTCGCCCTTTTGGTGCTGGAAGGAGGATGTGCTGAGTCAGATGGAATCTTGGAATTATTTTGGGGTTTAATTCCCAGTCAGGGTTCAGTAGAAGCTGAGGAAAGTGTTATTAGCTGGAAACCTTTTTGGCACAGCTAAGCCCATTTAGGGTGTGATACCTACAGAAAAAGGAAACTAAAGGGTCCTTTCCATACTGTGTCCCTACTGTTGCTGATATTCAAGCTCAGGTCCTTTGGCAATGGCAGCTGAGAGTGGCAGCAAGCACACTGGCTTTGTGTGGATTTACAAAACATGGTGTGTACCTGTACTGGTCTCACCCAGCATTCTCCAGTACCAGAAGGACAATCTTCCTTATAAGTTACTCTGTTGGATGCAAGGATATGCAGGAGTCTGCTACCCAGGATCCAAGTCAGAGCCCTGAGCAAGAAAGAAGGTACTAGAGAGTTTCTACCCTGTAGGAATGTCGGTGCTTTTAGCATTTGTTGCTGAGCTTTGTGCTATGGAACAAGTCAGATCAACTAATCATAAGGATCCTTTATGGAAGAAAGTAAGCAGCACTTGTAAGGAATTGTGCTGGCCTAGCAATGGACTGGGCTGGCTTCACCCAGCCTGGTGGGGTGGTTTGTGTTAGCAACAGTCTCCCAGGAACTCCCCTGTGCTCTCAGCAGCATCTGAAAATACAGGTTGGTCAAGCAGCACTGCAAGGCAGAAACAAGCCCAGACTCTACCAAAGCCAAGTAGTAGCACAGATCCAGTACTGCACCATAAGAGGATGAGAGCAAGGCTTTACAGACACCTCAGGTGGCTTTGGTAGGAAACTCCATTTAATGAGATAGATTCACCTCCCCACACCCAGGAGTTCAGCTTTATTCACGGATCTCAGGGAGTTTTAGAGTGCTTATTGTGCATATGACAGGATATGGCTCAGTGGAATGACTCACTCCCTGTAAAGTTAATTCACACTTTGCTGCTATTTCCATTCAGAGGTGCTTCTGTAAGATTTAGTGCCAGGAAGTTACAAAGCTGGGAGCCAGCTCCAAATACTCCCATAGGTTACTTTACACCTAGTAAACAGTGGGTCTGTAGAAGGAGAGTGTGATTGCGGACTTGGTAAACAACCATGCCCCCTCCCCCACAAAAAAAACCCCAAACAAATCCTAAAAACCCCAACAACCTTCTCACCCAAAACACAAGTTCCCAAATCATGTTTTATTGGTAGTGATTTCCTATTCCCTTCTAATTTCTGAATTTGCCCATTACCTCTGCTACTCTCTTTTTTTGTCCATTTTCTTTCCTAGCTCTGCTGAACCACCACACTTCTCCCTCAGCAACCTCTGACTCTGGAGCAGCTATGGGGCCCCACATCTGGACAGGCAAGAGCTCTGACCTATCTGTAATACTGAAGACAGGGCTAAAAGGGTTAGTCCTGTGAGCCATATTGGATGGAGCCTTTGCATCCTCTGTGGCACAGGCACTTGAGCAGTATTTAACTGCCAAGGTAAGTTAAGTGAAGCTGGTCCTAAATTACCCTAATGACAGAGCAGCATGCTGTCATTAAGGCTCCAAATGCAAGTCCTGCATGGGCTTGGCTCAGTGAGTGCTGGGAGGGCTTCCTGACTGGTCCCTGGAGAGTGGCTTCTGGGGAGAGGCATTGAAAGCCCTGGATGTTTGCTACTCCATCCTCCTCAGCAGCCTCCATATGGAGTGATTCATCTTATTGAAAGATTAACTGAGGTAACAGGAGGAACCTGGAAAGTTTTAGCTATGAGGGGATTTTTACCATTGCTAGTGGGGGTTAGGACATGGAGTGAGAAGTGGGGCTATTTCCCTCTTATGCTTTTTGTCAGTAAAATGGAGTAACTCCCTCTCCATATTAAAGCCCAACTTAATCTGCACTGATGAAATTACAAACACAAATTGTGGACATTAAAAAAATTTATTTGAACAATTTTTAGACACAATCACATAGAACGAAAGTAGCTCTCAGTACAGTTTCTTTTCCAGAATGAAATAACCCCTGTTTCATACCAAGCTACTGCAGGACAACCCTTGCTGTCCTTGGCAGGAAGGAGGCTGGTGTTCTTTCCACCTGTGGACTTGCTCCATAGGGATGTAGCATGCTCTTTGGCAGGTCACACCATAGCCCTTGGTCTCACAGGCTAAAGAAATGTGTAAAGACCCAACAGACATACTGAACTAGAGATACAGCAAAGGTGCCTGTACAGGTAGGATACGCACACAGGGATGCATTGCTGAGTGAGAGCTTTGTCAGGTGTCCTACCTAGACCTGTGTCAGACATGTCACTCCTAGTTACTGTCTCTGTGCTCACCATCTCTTAGGACCCCTCACTGGACACAAATGGCATTTCAGCTGGAGGAGTCCTTTCAACATTCAGCTCATTTTGCTGCACCATCCTTTTCAGGTCTCTGAGCCTTACCCTAGCAGCAGCTCCAAGGCTGTGGGCCACTTCCCTTCCCAAGAACAGTTCACCTCTTTCATCCTGCAATACTGCCCAGGGAGACAGCAGTCTTGTCTCACATCCTGGGAACTACATAAGCTGCACTACAAAACCAGCTGGCTGTGAGAGCTGTTGGGAGGCATTTGTTTGGAGCCAGACTGCATTAGTCACATTTGCCTTGCTACACGCTCACTAGCTCACCTCTGCTCGCTTTTAGTCTAGGGCAAACCATCCACAGCTATTTCTCTTTCTGTCACATTACTCCAGAGTGTCCTTAAAGTGATGGGCTGTGGCCAGATGCAGAGAACCCCCTGAGTATCAAAAGCATTGCTTGACAGACCTGTCATGCTCTCTGCTACATAAACCAAAATGAAATGTCTCTGCAAAAGAAGATTTAGAAATTGCTGCAAGTTCTGTAATAAAATATAAGAAAATGTGAATAAACTCTCTGAGGTATTAATTCCCCGAGAGACAGGTGAGAGGGGAAGGGAGTGAAACTTAAGGAATTATTTTCTCCAGCATAAACTTAATGGATTTCCTTTGCTTTTGATTTCAGCAGATCAAGCAGCGACTTCTAAAAAAGGGAAGCATAATTGAAAGAAGCCCTGAGTCCTCTGTTCCTGTTCTGCAGCCTTAGGAAGAACAGTACAAGGTAAATTCCATTCTTCTGTGTAGATCTGAAATGATCTGTAAATCTGAATTATTTTACTAATAAAGAGGAACTCTCTCTCACTACAACCTTCTCCTTTTGATTCAGAACTAAATGTATGACAATATTACTTTGAAATTCATATCACCAGCAAAATTTTTAGGTCCCTACTAAAGGTTACCCTGCATATTAGCATCTCAACTAAGTAGAATCACAACTTTAATTTAACATTGATTCTTATTTCCTTCTCCAGCTACCTTTCTTCATTCCATCTTTCTCCTTTCTATTTGCTTTCTTTTCTTCCTTCTCTCTCCATCCACATTTGACCCCTTGGTAGTGTTATAAACCCTTTGCTGACACAGTTTTTTCTCTGCTAGACAGAGCCACACCTCACTCTTCCTCACCTCTTCTTTCTTTCGAAACACCACACACACAAAAGGCCTTTCAAAGTTGGTCTCCAAGTCCACAACTACCTCTTAGGATAGGACTGTAACACCTGCACCCATTGGACTAGAGAGTCCTCTCAGAGAAGGTTTTGCTCAAAGTATTTCTGTAGCTCCCAGTGCATTTTTTCTTCAGCCTGCTAATGGCCTTTATTTAGGAAATAACTTCTCAAGAGTACTCCTAGTACAGGGCCTTTAAGAAACAGTGCTGCTTTTTCACAGCCAAGTGAATTCTACCTATTTCGGCAAATGGAATCAGAGGGGGAACCCAAGTCTCATGTTACAAACTCTGCACCCCATGCCTGACCACATTGCAGTTGCATGTAACTGCCCCTGCCCTACTCTCTGCCATGCCTGTAAATCAGCCAAAACACAGGCTGATTTCAGAAGTCCCTCATGTTTATTACGCTGCATCAGAACTCTGAAAGTGTGTGAGCTTCAACCAGAAAACTGGTCATTTTGAACAATGCAAGGAACCTGCCTGTTCTGGGATACTGAGTCTTGATGTACTAAAGGCTCCCATTAGTCTGGGACACTACAGACATGTCTAGCAGGTGTTACAGCTGCCTGGACCATTCCACATCTCAGCACAATGGAAATCTAGTTCATGTCTCCTTGGCATCTGATACTGTACCCAGCAAGAGACAGGTTTCCAAGCCCAGCAGCTTATCATACCCTCCTTGCTGGGGCCATAGGAGCAGTCACTCCAAGAAGGTACAGAGCCAATACTGGCATTGGGTGTTTCTTTTCCCCTTCCTCAAAGCAGCTTCAGACAAAGCAAAAGAACTTCTTCCAGCGGCACTTAGAGAGAGTCTTGATGCCTTTGGCAGTCATCTTCTTTTCCTGACGTGCCTTGTGCTCAACACCGCTGACAATGGCCATGTCAAAAACTTCTTTAAGGTTCTTCTGGGTCAGCGCTGAGCATTCCAGGTAGGCTTCAGCCCGGATTTTGTCAGCTAGACCTTCTGCCTGAGGCCGGGGCACAGGCTTCACGTGGTAGCGATCCAGGCTGATGAGGACATTGACATCGTCCCGCAAGTCTGCCTGTGTCCCCACGAGCAGCACTGGCGCCCGCGGGTTGTGAGTTCGTATCTCAGGGATCCATTTCTCTGTAATGTTTTGGAAGGAGCTTGGGTTTACCACACTGAAGCAGACAAGGAAGACGTCGGTGTCAGGGTAACAAAGAGAGCGCAAACAGTCAAAGTCCTCCTGCAGAAAAGGGAGGGGAAAAAAAAGTCTTCACTGGACTGCTCTTCTAACAGCATGACGCTGCAGTAGCTTTTCTACAAGTTAGCTAGGATAACAACAGAGGCAGAGCATTGTACTGGCTTTGTGGCCATGCCATGTTTCAGACACAAGTTTCAGAGTTGAGGGCATCTGTCATTCCCTTGTCTGTGACTGCCATGCCAGCAAATGGCTGGTGCTGGAGCAGTGCACTTCCTTTCTTCCCAGTTAAACACCTCCTTCCTCAAAACTGAAAACAATCTCTGTCCCACAGGACCAGAGTTGACAGCTGCTTTGATAGAGCTTACCTGTCCAGCAGTGTCCCACAGCTGAATTCGGACTGGGGCTCCATCCACGAGGACCTGCACTGTAGCAGAAGGAGAGTAAGGATGAGTCTAAAGCAGCTGGCCAGCATACACACACACACTCATACAGGCTTTTCCTGAGCACTTTGCTTCATACCCTGCTGAACAGACTCACTGAAGTCACATCTCCTCCTAGCTGAGCATCCTCCCAGACCTCACCAAGACTGTGGAAGCTTGCAGTGGAAACATTAAGAGAACTGCAGCAGACCTGCTTTTGTTGGCTTTCAGGTGTTTTGTTCAGGAACTTTGAAAGAATAGTTCCATGTTACTGGACAACTGCTCCTCTAGACAAGAAGAGCCCTTAGCAAAACAGCTCCCTGGGAGCTTCTTGTTCTCCTTCCACAACACAAGAAAAAGATAAGGATAAAACCAGAGAACTTCGGCAACTTGCTCCTATCTTCTTGGCCAAGCAAATTCAATTCAGACTCCATCAAACAAGCTATTGGAGATTTTTCCCATCCAGACCAGAAATTTGGCCTTAAAAAAATGTTACATGAGAGTCCTAGCTAAGGAAAACCCCACCTTTGTAATGAAGAAACTATTAAGGAAACAGTGATGAGTGAAATCCCTTTCAGACCATCCACACACCAAAAAACTGCTGAGTTACACATGTAAGGTTTGCTCCCATTTCACTCCCTAATCACAGTAAGCCTTCATGTGGTATCAGCTGACTCAGACTGAGGGCTGGCAGGACCTCTGATGGCAATCAGCAATGAAACTGTTAGATGTTTAAGTGCATAGACACCACAGAGATTAGGCTAGGAACGGAGGAGAGGGAAAAAGGGGTTGTGGAGCTGGAAATCACTTGAAAGTAGGTGGATGGGGCTGTGCTTGGGTGAATAGAGGCAGACATCATGGCTAAGGTGCCAATGGCTGGCACTTGATATGAACTAGCAAAACTCCACTGCTGTGTGCAGGGAGGAGGCCTTATTGTTCTTTTTTTTAAAAAAAAAAAAAAAAACCAAAAAGCCCCCCAAAACCCACAAACAAACAAAAATCTCCCAACCAGAGGCAGGATAAATCTTTTGTGATTCTTGAAATAATTTGTCAGGTGAGAAGTGACAGAAACAAGAGAGTTTAACACAGGTTTTTGAAGGAGACCACTCCTCCCTGAAAGCAGTCTGGGGAAAAAAGAGGGGGACAAAGACAAAAAGAACAGAAGTTTGGTGGGAGACCAAGACTGGAGGAAAAATGAAGAGGTGGGTGCGTCCACCACAGTGCCACTCCTCGCAGCGTAGTTGAAAGTCATTGCTTCCGTGTGACTGGGAAACAGTTGGGTTGTTACCATATCTTTGCCCCAGAGGAGGAAGAGAAACCTGTTCCTGATCAAAGAACCTGCTAGATCCTGACTTGATCTGCAAGGCAGCAGGCATTTGACTTTCTAGTATCTGGTTTTCTCTGTCTCACAAGTGCATTGAGAGAAGGAATTAGCATCTCTGAAATGTCTGGCCATCTTCAGAAGAAACTCACCACACATATTACCTACTGCTCCAGCGTTAGCACAAAGTTTCATCCCATCTGCTGCTAGCTTGAGCTACATTAGCAACTCTGCAACAGCCCTACAAATATCACCCTCACAAGGCCCACGCCCTCAGGATGAGGATGGATCATGGTACAATAGCGAAGGGGCTGGCAGAACAGGATAGCCTGGTGGAGAAAGGTCACCGGGTATGCGTTTCACTCAAGGCTGCTCTAGCTGGCAGCGACACCCAGCAGGAGGTAGCAGCCAGACTACATCTGTGTGTGCTGGGTCACTGTCCCAGAGTCGTCCCCCTGATAATGCAACACCTTCTCCTATCTTGTTACTGGCATCACAAACCCATGACCAGGATTAAGGTTAGAATTTAAACTGCTGAGTTCTGCCAGCTGTTTCAATGGCAGGTATTCCCCAAAAGTGGAAGGAATTGGGTTGAAATTTCTGAGCTGGATCCTGAAGCATAATATTTGACTCCAGGAAGGGACTTTCTTCAGGCTTATCCACTGTAAAAGTAGGAGTGTGAAGGGAAGCTTTTGATTTCTATCAGTTACAAATCCTATGAACCTCTGAAGGTTCATAAGACTGAAGACTCAGTGCTGGGACATCCAGACTGGAACTAAACCCATGTGCATCTATCTTCAGAATATCTGCTGTTAATCAAGGAGTCTGTGCACTCGCCTTCACCTTTCTGGACCATTTTATTATGGATTTGCCCTTCCAAAAATGTGCAGTCTAATAGCTACAGTAATGTTAAACCTCTCTTAGTCTAATCCATACACATTAATGCAAAGAGAGCAGAGAGAGCAGTAACCTTTCCCTTGGAGGGCTCATGATTCCTTACATCTGTTCACAAAGGGTTTCTGGACCATGAACAGCAGCGTGTTCCCAGTCCAGTTCCTTCAAGTGACAGTGGAATAGCTTGGAGCAGGTCAAGGTAAGTCAACAGCTCTCAGAGTGAGCGACTGGGGGGGACATTCAAACAAAACACTCCCTCTAAGCACCCCTAAGACTATGACACATTAGATGTCTCATTCCTGGTCTGACTTGAGCACATCTCTAATCTACCAATCTACATTGTCAAGTAGTGCTGTGTTTCTTCATATCAAATGAAGATAAGAAATCTTTCAAAGGGCTTTGTATTCTCCTGGGGTTTATATTAGAAATTGGAGCCCAAAGGAAGAGGAGTGTAGAACAAGAACAAAGATAGCATTCACAAAAGTGGAAACAAATGAGAGCTCATCAGTTTGCAATTCTAGCCAGACTTATAAAGCTCGTCAACTTTTTGACAACCTCTGTTCAATGCTAACTTCACCAGACATGGAGGGAAAAGGATGGTTTTCCTGAGTATCAGTTAAAACTAAAATCACAGCGTTACACTGTAGGCTATTTCTGAAGCTAAAACCACCACAAACAGTAAAGAAAAAACTAAGCCCCCTTCTATGTAGTCATAACAACACCACAAAACCAGGAAGGTGCCCAAGTTCATAGAACTTGCAAATCAACTCGACATAGTTGCAGAACGGAGAACCTCCACCTGCTGAACCTCACAAAACGTCGGATGGACTCGGTCCGAGTGCCAGGAATCCCCTCGGGCTGTGTGCCCGCAGAGCCCCCGGGGCGCAGCCCGTGGCCCCGGGAGCGCTCGCCTCCATCCGCGCCGGGAGCCCGCTCCTCCCGAGGTTTCGCCGCTCCAGGCCGATCCTCCCGGCCGCCCCATGCCCCGCGCAGCCCGGGCGGGCACCTACCGGAGAAGGTGTCGAGGGCGGTGGGCTGGTACTCGTCGGGGTACCCGTTGGTGGTGTAGCTGACCACCAGGCTGGTCTTGCCCACGGCGCCATCGCCCACCAGCACGCACTTGATTCCCAGCTCCGGGCAGCTGCCCCGGGGCGGGCTGTGTCTCCGCAGGGCGGGCGCGTAATCCAGGAGCTCCTGGGGAGGCATGGCAATGGCACTGACGGTGGCACGGCGGACTCGACAGGGCTCAGCGCGGGGAGCGGCGCGGCGGGGCCGCTGCCATGCTCCTGAGAACGGGCTGCCGTCGGAGCTGCCGTGCGAGGCCACCCTCTCCAGCCCGCCGAGCTTCGCTCCTCATCACTACACCTGCCACCCTGCGCACAAAACCAGCCCCTATTTCCCTAGTCCCGCCCTGTCCCGCCCCGCCGGGAGGTGGCCGGGCCCAGCCCTGCCCGGCCCGGCCCGGCTCGGCTCGGCCGCCTCCTCCCGCCTCCTCCCGCCGCCGTCCCTCGGGCCAGGGTCCCGCTGCTGCAGCCCCATCCCCCGCGATGCCCCCGAGCGGCGCCTGCCCTCGCAATTTCGGCAGGTGCCACGCCGTGCTCTGAGCCGCGCACACGCAGGAAAGCCGCGCCCCATCCAAGTGGCCCCTGCTTGCTTTTTGAAAGAAGCAGCTCCACTGTGCCATTTGGGGCATCTGTGATTTCTGCCATGAAATCAGGACAGAAGTAAAACCAACAGTGCTGGTCAGTATTGTGCAGGACAATATAAAACAAATGGCCAAAAGTCATCACATCTGTTAACTCCATGATTGCCATTACTGGGTTGCTGGGGCACAGCCAAGCTGTTGCTGCCTGCTGGCAAAAGCCACAAAGTGTATTTTCCCAGCTGCATGGACAAGTGCAGGAGTTCCCAGTCTGCTGCCTGTTTTTCATATTCACCTCTGGTAGCTCACACACCACACTGTGCCCTTGGCAGCTAAGAAGACAGCTCCATCCCTGCCCTGAGGAGCTCACCGTCTAAAGAAGTATGACTAAACACAGCAGTGGGAACACACCACTTAAAAGGAGAGATACAGCCACACTATCTCAGCCATCACTGCACACCAGTGTAGCACCTCCAAGTGATTGGAAACACTGGAAGGAAAGTATTAATGCCTGAAATACCCAATATTGCAACATCAGCTTTGAATGTGGAGCTGTTTCCTAATGGAGAAGCTCAGGCTATCAATGAACAACACTCTTTTAGTTACCATGATGTCCTCCACGGTCCTCTCAGCAAGGCAGACCTGTCTGCACTAGGCAGGTTTGTGCTGCAAGTAGCTGCTGATCAGCAGTTCATGAGTTTGCCTTGCTGCAGTTTGCATCCATGCTGAGAAAGATACACCAATGTTGAACTTGAGAAGAAATCTTTAAGTCAGGCACAGTCTAGAGTGCTTTTCTCTGTGAGTGACAGAAAGTCATAAGCACTGCAACCCTTCAGGTTCAGTGGACAAAGCATGTCCACTCTTTGGAGACAGCCAACAAGCTTCCTGGGAACTGCAAGAAGGCTTTTCCTCTGCAGTGTTCTCTAGCAGTTTGTTTTAATCAACTCCTTATGTGATTTTACATGTAGCACAGCCTTAAATTTCTACAGCTACAAAAAATGGGGATGGTATTAGAAACTAGGCTGCTGCTAAAACATATGCCAGGTAGTCTTGCTACCACAAGTGACTGCTATCTCAAGGGACTGGCTTGCATCAGACTGGCTTTTTCCAGTGCCATGCTCTTCAGTGCTAGCTCAGAGCCAGGTGACAGCTGAACTGCTCCAGAAAAGGCAGAATGCACTGGGGCAGGCCATGCTCTGCAGTGTGTGAGGTGTGGCAGTGCCTCCAATGGGACCAGCAAGGACACGCTACACTGCAGCTGGGACAGGCAGCACAGCAAGCAAGGACCTTACAAAGCTTTCCCAGTGCATTTCAGACTCTGGCTGACTTTCTGTGAACTATGACATTTCCATTAATCAGAAGAAATGAATGTAGATGAGGGATTATTCACTGAATTGTTCACTGTTGGCAGGGACAAGAGATGAAGAGAAGTTGACAGTTCAAGTTCCCTATTTGCTGTTTGCTTAGGAATGTATCTCCCTTAAGAAGACACACTGTTGCCCCACTCCTCGGATCCAGCCCTTTTCCTCTTTTTCTTTTCCTAAAATCTGTTCCTTCTGGGACTATGCTCTTTTTTCCTTGCACTTTCTGACAACTGTTGGTTGACACACACTTAATTTGTCAGTGAGCTTAAGTGATTTTTAATCTATATTTAAACAAAGTGATTAAGCAAACAAACAGGGCTGCTCCCATGGATTCGTTTCTCAGGTCTTGAGAAAGAGAAAGGTCTTGTCTTGATCCTGACAGCTAACAGTGGGTGCAGATTTAGTTTCACAATGCAGAGAGCAGTCAGATATTTTGGGTTTCCTAGATTTTTTTGCACAGTCTGGCTTTTTTGCAGTGAAAGTCTGTCCTATTCCCAGAGCGGCTGAACCAACAGCTCTGGGGACTGCCTACTCTGCCTATGGAGGCAGCAGGTACATTAGGAGAGCCCCATTGAGTGCTGCTCGCCTGACGTGCTCCTCTGCCAAAATCAGTTGTGCCTGAGTGGGAAATACAGTCTGCAAGGCTGTATTTGGCCTCACTCCCAGGAATTATAATTAGTACAAATTATGATGGTATTTCTCATTATGTGAATTCCTATCCAGGAACTAAGTGCAGAAGATCAAACTCTTTCCAGGCAGATCAAATACAGATTTCAGGTCCTGTTAGTGTTTAGCTGTTACTCAGCTGGGCTGCACTATGTAGGCTGCACAGAAAAGCTGCTCCATTAAAGTGATTTACAGTGGAAATAGATTTCTATATTCAGGCAGTGTGTGACTGTCACTAATAAACAAACTTCATACATCTGTACAAAGTCCTGTTATTAAAAAACCCAGTTATTTAGAGGAAGATGCTTCCTGTCCTGCCTATTTCTATCAATTCTAATAATTTTTCTCACTGCTGCTGTGACAGGAGAAGTCCACCTATGGACCAAATCAAGAACAGTACATAAACCAGTTTGGGTGAGGAGGACACGTGGGCTTGTGGGGATGAAACTTGTGGGGAAGAAACTACAGATCAGCTCAAACGATTCCATATAATTTCCATTCTGAAGTACAGTATTATAATACGGGGAAATGGTGACACGGCTTTTTAGCAGATAGCGGTCCTGACTTTCAGTGGCTCCTGAGCAATACTTGACCACCAACAACCTTGTATTCTGTTCCTCTGACAACATTGTTTTCTGCCTCCTTGGCTGATATTCTGCTTCCCAGTCTTGTCTGAAACTCACAGAGTGGAAGGCATTCTCATTTTTGCAAAGCCTAGCAAATTACTCATGTTGCCTCAGAAAAAGCATTCTGTATTATGGGAGGTGGCAGTTTTAAAAATAACATGGCTCCCTTCTCACCAAGGGAAAAGAAAAAAAATTATCAACCCTTCCTAACACGGCAGTGAGCAAACCCAGCCTTCAGCATCACCTGCATTTGTCCAAGTGGGCTGCATTTGTCAATATGGCTTCTTAGCAAATGGTGCCCTGGGATCCCATTTCTGAGTCTGTTCACAGCGCTGCACAAGAGAAACCTAAACAATGAGAAAGGGGGGCACAGTGAGAACAGCGACAACGCCATCACGCACAGGGCAGGTGGGTGGGCATCTCGATTGAGAGGGGGTGCACTGGAGGGCAGGTGCCAGAGCAAACTGGATCCCGTGATGTCAAGAGACACTGAAGAAATCGAGGTACAGCCGCTGCCCAGCTGGTTGAATTCGTAATTGCAAGCAATGACACAATCAGTTCTGAGTCACCCAGTGTTTGTCATGCACCTGAGTGTGCTTCCTCCCTGGGAAAAATCAGGCTAACTATAATTACCACTTAAAAGGAGTGACAGACAAAAGGGTGAAGACAAGAGCCCGAGCCTGGTTTTCCCTTGTGGTGTGCCTTGTCTTCCTTGTAGCCTTCAGGAAGTGATGTCAAACGCTTCTTTGTATCATTTGCTATCAACTTCGCAGAGGCAGAAACAGATACAACAGAAAGTCAGTGAAACATCAGGCTGCACCCATTCATAGAAAAATTATGACAGGAGAAATCCGAGAAAGAATTATTCTAGTACTTACTTTCCTTTATAGAGATTTTGATTGATAGGAACTCCATAGTTCCAGAGTCTCCAGCAATAAAAATGCTTTACAATTCTATAGCAGCTAATGGATACTTCTGTTGTGAACTGGAGATGTGTGCTTTCGCAATGAGAACAAAACAAAACAAACCCCCAAAAAACCCAAACAAACAAAAATAGAAACAGTGTTAGAATACAGCTCCCACTATCCTTAGAATACAGCTCCCACTATCCTGGCCTCTGAACTACTTCATTGCTCTTTGGAAATAAAGGCAATGCCTGGGAGATGGACAGAGAGGTTCTGGTTCATCTGTTCACTGCCACTGTGGTTAAATGTGGAGGCAAAGAGCCACAAGAACAGTATTATACTACATTTTCAGGTTAAAGAATAAGTTTAAGTGATATAACAATGCCACTAGCTTCAAAAATATTTTCTTGAACGTTCCAAAGGGAGACAAGCATCGTATTGCACTAAGTCCCTTTCTCAAACTCTACTTCATCTCCTGACTTGCTTAGGAACTAGTCCTACCTCTCAGACATGCTGTGAATAATTTAGAAGTGTGTTGCCATCTGCTGGAGAAAGTACGTATTTTAACACATCAACTGATGAATGTGAAAGAACAGGCAAAGTTTAAGGCGTTCAAAGACTTTCTTTAAATCTGAAAGAGAAACAGTAAATTTCAGACTAAAGACAGGTTGGAAGACAATGGTCTGAGCTCAGTTTCATTATGTCACTCACACTCAATCGGACGCTTTACACCAAAAAGAGGCGCTAACGTTTAACAGGAATGGGTGAGGGAATTAGCAAGAGAAAGGTGATAAAGTTCCTATCCCCCCTGTGAAACAAGGAAAGGCAGGTAGTTAACACTAAGCAGTGAAGGGCTGGGTTTAAGAGGGATCGGAAAACCATAAAATGCTCTAAGATCACTGTCTCTGCCAAGTTATCAGTTTCAGTTCTCAGGCTTATCATTTATGGATCTCCCTTGAGCATCAAAACGGAGGGATTAGCCACAGGGTGCTGATGATAGGAA